AACTCAAACTCTTCCAGGATGGGCTGGGAAGGTGGCTCAGTGGTAGAGCGCTTGCCTTGCATGCATGAGGCCCTGGGTTCGATTCCTCAGCATCACATAAGCAAAAAGAAAAAAAGCCAGAAGTGGTGCTGTGGTTCAAGTGGTAGGACAGCACCCAGGCCCAGAGTTCAGACCCCACGACCAGAGCCCCCCTCACAAAAAAAAACTCTTCCAGGAGATGGAAGGAAAACAATTTCCTACCATATGCTTATATATTTATTTATATATATATACACACATATGCATGTATATATGTATGTACATATCCTATACGTCTATCTATCTATCTGTAGTTGTTTTTTTGGTAGACTTAGGATAGAATCCAGGCAAGTAACTATACTACACTCCACTCTCCAAACACATTTTTTTTTGGGGGGGTCAGTCGTGGGGCTTTAATTCTGGGTCTGGGCGCTGTCCCTGCGGTCTTCAGCTCAAGGCGAGTGCTCTACTGCTTGAGCCACAGCGCCACTTTTGGTTTTGTAGTGGTTTATTGGAGATAAGAGTCTCACAGACTTTCCTGCCTTGGCTTGCTTTGAACCTTGATCCTCAGATCTCAGCCTCCTGGGTAGCCAGGATTACAGGTGTGAGCCACCAGCACCCGGCTAGAGCAAAGTTTTGATAACACAATTACACAGAGACACTCAAGATAATTTAAGGCTAGTGTATTTCCTATAAATGGAGTAAAAATTCTTAAATATAATCTTATCAGATAGAATCTGGAATTTTATATAAAGTAGAATGCGGGCTGGGAAGGTGGCTCAATGGTAGAATGCTTGTCTAAGCATGCATGAGGCCCTGGGTTCAATTCCTCGGTACCACATAAGCAGAAAAAGCTAGAAGTGGTGCTGTGGCCCAGTGGTAGAGCACTAGCCTTGAGCTGAAGAGCTGAGGGACAGCGCCCAGGCTGAGTTCAGACCCACGACTGGCAAAAAGTAAAATAAAATAAATGTAGAGGCTGAGGCAGGAGGATCATGAATTCAAACTCAGGGCCAGGGTGGGCTATATAGCAAGACCAGATCTCCAAAAATAAATAAATAAAAATTTCAAAAGTCAACACATAAGGGGATCAGGGTGCCTGCCAAGGAGGTCTCCTTCACCAAGAGTGGGTCTTGCAATGGTATCTTTTGGGGGTCTTTTTTTTTTTT